TGTTACTTGTTTTGAATTTTGGAATTTCATATGACATCATCTTACTTTAATTAAACTTATTTATTTATTTATTTTTTTTGACCAGGTAGATGGTTAAGAAATTAGTAGAGTTAGTTTGTTAGCAGTTAGAATTTTTCCAGGAAAGTGAATCTTCCACCCCCTCATTTGAGACGCGCGACCATTAAGTCGCAAGTTGGTGGAGTTCACGGCGGTGGCAGAACTCGAAGTCTTGACCTCCGCCTCACCCAAGCCCTAAAGCTTAGGGGCCAACCAATTGGACCACAGGTCCGGTTGGCTTAATTAAACTTATTTAATTCTTTTTAATAAGTTAAGATTTTATTTCATCCATTGAATTATAATAATCAATTTATTTTGGACCATTTCATTTAAATCTATATATATATATATATATATTTCTACACTTCTCAATTTTCTTGTTTGCCGTACTCATCCTCTCCTACCTCCCATTTCAAAACGCTTTTTCTCCAACTCTCCCTTTCACTCCTTAGTTCTCTCAAATGTCAAATCTACACCGAAAATCCATTCTCTTTTTTTAATCCCTTCTCTTCATTACGTCCTTTTTTTAATTAATCTTTTCCTAGAGTCTCGATCTAAAAATAAAATTTCATATCAATGCTTGATTTGCTCTCTTATTTTCATTACCATAGCCACTGGCGCATTGTGTTGTTTCTTTCCTTTCTTGCACCTTATATGATTCACTTTTAGAAAATTGCTGCCGCTTGATTGGAAATTTGGTTACAAATTGAAATCAATGCTTTGCCAACCAAAACCAATATCCCTAAACCAACAAAACGTGAAACATTATGGTTTGATACTTGGTTGTTAAAAATGAAAAACCAAAAACTTGATTAATCGGGATCTCGGTTTTAGTTGTAGTCAAAACTGCCCAATGATTACCTCAAAATGCTATAGTTACCATGCCATGTAGAATTGTAAACTTACCATTATAACATAATATTAAATGCAAATAAGTGTAGATATATATAATATTATGTATAAACTTTTAAAAGAAAAGAATCAATTATATAATAACACATCATGTTATAAATTTATAATATCACATAGTATTATGAGATTAGTACGTATTAGTCTTAATTTTCAAAAAAAATTTGGAGTCCCAACCTATATTTAAAAACTAAAATCTTAATTTAAAATTTAGATATTTATCTTATTAAATGTTGGTAGCTAGATTTGAAAATCGATTATATATTTTAATATTATTAATTTTTAAATCTAAATATTAACATTTAATAAGATA